TGGATCTCGCCAAGTATCCCGCCAGAGCTCCCGCCAAAGCAGCTCGCCAGTCGGATCCCGCCGAGAGTCCCGCCAGAGCTGCTCGCCAGTGGATCCCGCCCAGTAGTGGAGTTTAATACACAGACAAGTGGAAAAGACTCTCAATGCAAAGCTTGTGCAAAGCTTGTTGAGCAGTCATAGGCCGCAAGCCACTCGAAAACCATGCTTGAATTCACAGAACCGTGTTCAAGGCCGTAAGCTCGTGAGTGTGGAGGGTGGGGATTGCTCGAAGCGAAGTAATTGTTGTTGTTGTTGTTGTTGTTGTGGTTGTTGTTGTTGTTGTTGTTGTTGTTGTTGATTTTCTGTACTTCTGCTTCTTCTTCTCCTTCTTCGGCTTCTTGCTTCTTCTTCTTCTTCTTCTTGTTTCTTCTTCTTTCTTGTTCTTCTTGTTATTCTTCTTGTTCTTCTTCTTGTTCTTCTTCTTGTTCTTCTTCTTGTTCTTCTTCTTGTTCTTCTTCTTGTTCTTCTTCTTGTTCTTCTTCTTGTTCTTCTTCTTGTTCTTCTTCTTGTTCTTCTTCTTGTTCTTCTTCTTGTTCTTCTTCTTGTTCTTCTTCTTGTTCTTCTTCTTGTTCTTCTTCTTGTTCTTCTTCTTGTTCTTCTTCTTGTTCTTCTTCTTGTTCTTCTTCTTGTTCTTCTTCTTGTTCTTCTTCTTGTTCTTGTTCTTGTTCTTGTTCTTGTTCTTGGTGGTGGTGGTGGTGGCTGCTGCTGCTGCTGCTTCTGCTGCTGCTGCTGCTGCTGCTGCTGCTGCTGCTGCTGCTGCTGCTGCTGCTGCTTGGGCTGGTGCTGGTGCTGTTGCGGCGGCTGTTGCTCAAGGAGGTTCGGCCTGCGTGGGGGGGGATGTGCACAAAGCAAGAAGCTGAAATAATTGTATTAGTATGACCTTCTCTTTGGGGGGCATTTTGCTTGGCTGTTAGGACTTTAACTTTTTGCCAACTAATGGGTTTTCCACTAAATAACTAAAAAGTTAAACTTTCAGCAGGGGAGCAGAAAGCAACCGAGTTTCTTTGATGCAATCCAACCTGTGCCACTCTCAGATCGAGAAGAGCTGGAGCTTTTGCTCGCGAACCCCAAAGCCGTTCGGACGCTAGCTGATGTGGGAGTCGATGTGGCTCGGCTCAAATCTCCTGCGGCCCTGACATGGCAATATTCGTATTGAGGTATTGAGGTTTGAGGTTGGGGGCAGATCGGCATTCGTTCATTTGGAAAGCCCGCCAATTCAGCCGGCATCTAAGTTGCTGGCTCTCGTTGACTTGATGGACTTCATTTTCGAGCAGAACGAGGCATCCTCAGAACGCTCGGCTCGAGCACTGTGTCCTAGAGAGTGTGCGTGCGGTTCTTTGAAGGACCTCACTTTTCCGGAATTCATGGACATCGTGTTGGACCTCAGAGGGGACAACGCTGCCACGGTCCGCCACTCAGGGTAGGATTTCCAGCACATCATCCGACACCCCTACAGATTGTGAGGATTCTGGCTTGGCAGGTGCGTCTTGAAGCCATAAAACGAATGATAGATCCCTGATTGATTTGAGTGGAGGGTGCAATTTGTTAGTTTTCAACTTCTTTGGGTTGGCATCCTCAATCTGTGCTGGATTGGGTTGATTCATCCAACAAATGCCATGAAATCCAAGCGAGGTCAAGGACATAGTGGATCTCCGGCGGTTCGTGGCGGACTTATACCAAATTTCTCTATGCTGATTCAATTATATGGGCTTGTCTCCAAAACAGGAACCACAAAATGGTTGGTGTCCTTGTAGTTTCCCTTTAAAGACAGCCGCAAAGGGTACCGGTACCCTCAAAAAACACCCGAAAACTGGACAATGCCTGGAGGTATGTCATGGCTTGCATTTCGGGTTGACTCGCCAGACTTGCCCAGCGCAAGGTGAGCTCTCAGACCAAAAAGATCGAGAGGGTTTATCAAGAAGCTAAGCTGCACTGGCATGCCGGCCTTTGCCCAAGGGGTTGCCCAAGGGGTATCCAAGCACTGAGCAACGGACAAGCTTACCAGGGTATCAGTTTGGGGGCCTCTGAAGCCCAAGTTCCCCACAAGGAGCCAAGACAAATATCCGTGGCTCAGATATGTGGGTCTGCGGCGGTAGGGTAGGGAGGCTGACAAAACCCGAGGAGGCAGCAAGCCGACCTACGAATCCTGCGATCTCTGTCCTGAAGCCGCCATCCGTTCCGCAGCCTTCCTTGGAGGATCACATCTCCAGGCCGTGAGCTATATAGCGCACTTAGTTTCACCATGGTCCGCTTGAAGCGACGAAGCGACAAACTGCTTTTTGACCGATGGAATTTCTAGCTGCGTTTCCCGACGGCTGTTCCTGAGCCAGTCAGTCACGAGTTAGTGAAGATGCCCGACGAAGGCCGCAAGTGTTGCTGATTCTTTTACGGCTAGCACACGAGCTTGTCCAACCTGCTTAACGACTTTGAGTCACGCCACGGGCTGTTGGCAGGAGCGAATGCGCCTGCCAACCAAAAATCGGGATTCGGCGTTTTAATCGCGGGCAGAGGGTGTTCCAGCATGCAGGTCCGAGAGCACGCTGGTACCCAGGCCTGCAGGCTTACACGCAGAACCGGGAACCGGTACTTTTCAAAGAATTGCTCGAAGCGGTCCGCTTGCATTGCAAGGAAGCTGCAAAGGCCAACCTTTGTAAGGTTGGCATTGCCCGCTACCAATTGGGGAGGGAGGGGGGGTGCTGTTTTGTTGGCATCGCGTTGGCAGATGTGAGAAGTCATTCGACACATTGTGCAGCGTTCCTTGGAGGGCCCAAATGTGATGAGTGTGGGCGGCATGAATATATCGTGCTCCATGCGGCTTTTAGTTTGCCAGCCAGGTTTGGCCACTGAGCTGGGCCGAGCCCCTTGGCCACCTTTTGCGAAAGGCGCCGAAAGGCGCGGGTGTGGAGACAAAGATGCAGCCGGAAGTGCGCAATTGCCTCGTGACGTGGGTTTGTTTGTTTGGGGAACCCTCAGTTGAAGGGGTTCCCTAAAAGCCGCGCCCCAGCGGCTTGCGAGAGATTTTTGAGCTAGCCATATTGGCTCATGTAGCAGTTGCATGTTACATTTCCCAGAGAGCGAAGCTTGGCTGCGTCGGCTTGAAGGGCTCTTTTATTCCTGGCCACGTGATTTTCACCGCCTGCCTCAGGAATCTCCATAGAAACATGAAGCTCAGGGCGGAAACCAACTTCCTCCTGAAGAAACAGCTCAAGCAGGCGGAATGCAAATGGGCAGCCCATGGCCATGTCATCTCATCACTTCACTGCCACTTTGCTTCAGAGTAGTGTCCTCAGGCCCTCGGGCCCTTGGAGATCATTGGGGCTGCCGGTATCTCCACGGCAGTGCTGCCCTTACCGTTACATGTATGCGCATGTATGTCACGGCTGCGAATGGACGCGCTGAAAGTGAGGCCTTTGCGCTGACCTATTGGTGCACCAGCAGTGAGATCAGAGAGTCCAGCTCCACTGTAGCTATGCACCTTTGCCGGCACGGGATGCAGTCTCAAATTTGTGTCCGCCGCTTTGCTCAGGTTGATTCCCGCGATCCTAGCACCCACCCAAGTGAGTGCAGCTGATGGGCTTTGCGTCGCATCTCAAGCTGCGCCAGTCTGGCGATTGCATCCCAGGCAGTAATTGCGCTCCTCAGCAATTACATCGGTCTGGCCACCGGGTGGCAAATATGCAACGCAGTCGCCTTCCACTCGCGCTCGCAACTTTGGTCCAATCTTCCGGGGCTTTCAAAAACCCCGAGGCCAGATATCGCAGCAAGCGCACCTCGAGGGCTTGGTTAGTGATGGCTCTGTGCTTGTGGGCGGCTTTGCTGCACGTGCCACCTACGATAACAAGTGGGGCCGGGCGCTTTTGAGGGTACCTGCATGTGGCTGGATTGAACAGAAGCCGGAGGGAAACCGCGCTTCTTGGGCGTCCCCCTATTTTGACACATACTCAAGCGCGTTGCGACGGTGCGTGAACCTGGGCCAAGGCTGGCATTGCAACCGGATTGGTGTCTCAGCTGCCGGTCAGAAATTGTCTTGCAAAAAGCTGATCCTGCTTCACCCAGGTTCTGGGTAACGACTACTGGTGGCTTGGCTTAGCCAAGTCCAAGGAGTACCGGCAAATGGCCAGCTATGCCAGATTCCAAGTGCAGGTTCAGAATGATTCGAGGCGCGCGCAGAGTCGCTTGAGGTCAACAAGCAAGCGGCAAGCAACCGACCACCCGAGGTCAACATCAACCCATCTGCAGACAAAGGCGGTTCCTTCATGGACGCCGGTGCTGTTTACTTCAAGGACATGTTGCAAGCGCATCATGCCCTGAATGCGCACACGGCAAGTTGCAACTGTAGGATGGCTCCAGAGTTGAAAGAAGCAAGGCAATCGCATTCCGCAACGGCCTGACCTACTGTGGCTAGCACGCAGTCAGATTGCAAGAGGTGCCCCAAAGCCACACAGCGGCCCCCTGGGCCCCTCAAAGTCGACAGTCTGACAAGGGTCGATGTTTGGCGCACCCCCTCTTTGATTTTCAGTTTAGCGGCCGCGGTTGCACAGCTTAGGTGTTGCCCCCATCTCTCTGGACCCCTTGGAAGCCATCGGCAACACGAGCGCCAAGAAGACGTCAACAGGCCATTGCATCGGACCAGGTTATCAGATTGGATGGGTCCTGTGAAAATGACCAGGGTGACTCTGCTAGCCCTTGGGCATGGGGGCAAGAGGAACGTTCTGGCTGGCTCGTGCCAGGATTCCTCATCCCTGCCAGCGGTACCTGGACTCAAGTGCAATTCATACCAAGTCGCGCGCGAGAACGTCAGGGGTCATGATGCATCAAAGGTAGTGTGTTTTTTCTTTGGTGGATGTGGGAAAGCTGTTCAAGGGCAATGGCGCTGAGGGCAATTCCTTGAAAGAGGGGACCTGGGTATGGGTCAATTTGAACCAACCTCAGGTTTTAGCCCCTGTTCCTTCCATTTGCCAGGGTTCCACTTTGGGGTTACCCGATTTTTGACCCGCGCCCGCCTCACCTGAGACTCACCCTAGGAAGCCTCGACTTTTGGGCCGTTGGCACTGACTGCTGCGGGACAACTGGGACGCCGCGTCTCGGCAATGCTTGGATTGACCTGGGTACGTGTCAAGATAGGGGAAATTCCGAGAAATGGCTGTGGGTAAAAAAAAAGTACCCAAAACGGAACGCTGGTAAATAGAACCAATGACCAAAGCCTGCGGTCCCCTGGTCGTTTAATTTTGACCCATACCGGGCCCATACCCAAATAGTGGTTTTCCCTTTTGTTCCACCTTGAATCCACTAGACAAAAAGGTTCCCCCCCCCAAAAAAAAAGATACACCCCAATGATTGACCTTGAGCACAGGTTTGACTGCTATGATGCAGCGAACCCTTTTGCGCGGGCTGCACTTCGAGTTCTTGACAACACGCATACGGTGTGCGCCTCATCGGGGCACATGCCACAGGCGATGCTGTTGAATTGTTGAAGAGCTATAGCATTGCCGCAAGAAACAATTTTGCAGCGCTGAGGAGATGTATCAGATGGCGGTGAAGGAGCTTATTTCACAGCGCTGGCATGATGATGTGCCGCCTGCGTCAGTACAATTGTTGAGACACTGAGTGGCCTGCACGCTCGACAGCTAGACGTGCAGGAGTGGGTTGCGACGACGGGAATTCCGGCCAACCATCCAATCTTCTTCAAGTTGCTCGGCAGATTGACTCACTGTTTGTGAGCTCCACGCAACTTTCACCGCTGTTTGTGGCCGAGTTGGGTGATTGACCCACTTGCACTCGAAGCACAGTTTAAGAGCCGGGCGCTCAGACATAGATGCCCCTGCGTGACACTGCGCGGCACGGGCAACCAGAGGCAAAGCATTGCTTAGGCCTGTCCAACAGCAATTTGTTCAAGTTCGTGTTTGTGTATGCTCTCGCCCCTTGGCTGAAGCCTGTGATGGAAAGCTTGGTGGGGTAGCTTGCTCCCCCTGGGTTTGAAGTCTGGCCAGGCATCGCTCTTCCTCTCATACGCCTTGCACATGTTCCTGCGCTACTTCAAGGTCTTGTAGGCGCTTGCGCCAGCGGCTTTGGCTCCTTCCACCTTTCTCCTTCGTTTCTGTGCACCTTTCTCCTTCGTTTCTGCGCAGGGGTTCCACTGTTTGACCTCATTCTGCGCAGCGGGGCAGCCTTGGGCAACTTGTAGGGGCATTGCTCCGTACGCGGGCAGCTGAGCGGGGCCTTGATCTTGACCTTATGCGTAAGCCTGTACATAGTAGCGTTTCTCAAACTGTTAATGGCAACTTTCGGCACCAAGAAACAGAGTGCAGCCTTGGATGTGTCAGCGCTTGACTGGTACCTGCGGATCGGTTTTTCGCCCTGCTCCTGCACCACGCAAAGATCGCCATTGCCACCAGCAGAATCAAGAGGAAGACGGAACGAAAACAACCCGCCCACGCGGCACGGAGGGCGTGCAACACCTCGCACAGATGCATCTACTTCCCATTGATCCAACCCCACAGGTTCCGTGAGGCAGGCAATGGGCAAAAAAGGGAGAGAAAGAGACAGCGAGAGAGAGAGAGAGAGAGGGAAAGAACAAAATAAAGAAGGAAGGAAGGAAGGAAAGAAAAGAAAGGAAGCAAGAAAGCAAGAAAGCGCGAAAGCAAGAAAGCAAGACAGCAAGAAAGAGGGAGAAAGAGGGGAAAGATAGAGAGAGAGAGAGAGAGAAGTGGGAAGACGTTAGCCTGCTTCATGGCTTCAGCAGCTGTGCACTATGAAAGTTGGGGGCTGAGTTGCTCATGTGTTTCCGCCCGAAGCAGATGTCATCTTGGGCTAGACGATGCGGGGTTCTTGCAGGAAGACCCGCCAAAGTCCGGCGGCATTAAGGTCGAGGAGGGGGCGGAGGAAAATCGGGCCCCCAATTTCCGGGCAGCGGCTTCGTCTGTTTCAAGGGCGGTGCGATGCGCGGCTTCGTGCCAGGTGAAGCCAGCGTCTAAGGAGGAGGTTGAGGCGCCAAGTGGCAAGTCGCTTTGAGGCGCGCATGGAAGCCGTTCTGATTGCCCAGGCCTTCATCGGCCAAAATCGGCGCTGGCTCACCGATGACGCGGAGAAGGCAGGGCCCAGCTGGCCGGTGACTTGAGAAGAGGCTGCCCCAAGGCTTTTCGCGGCATGGGCGCTGCTGATCAACGCCGGGCCAGCGACCTCATTTGGACTGGCTCCGCCGGGCACGGCGACGGGATGAGGTGATCTGTGCTGGGACTATGTCGAGCGTGCAGAACCCCTTGGCGGTGATTCAGGCTGGGCATGCAGTTGACGCCTAGTCCTGGAGTCCTGACTTGCAGGCCCGTGTGCGAAAGGCAAAAGACTTGGAGGCGCACCGGCACCAGACCTGGGGGGTTGTCCACCAGGACTTCATGATTTTTGCACAAGTGCAGTGGGATTGATGGGCTACAAGTGCAATGCTGGTTGCCGCTCTTGCCTTACGCAGCTTCACCAGGCGGCAGTGAGCCGGAGTGGCGGCTCCGTGCCGGCTCGTTGCTCGAGCATTTCAGAGGTGACCCTCGCGAGCCAGCATGTGCTTAGCACAAGTTGACCCTGACCCCTTGCCGGCATGCTGAGGCAGTCCTGCTTGGGTTGGAGAGCAAGTTGACAAAGCGACAGTCTTAGTCAAGGAACGAACTTGGATGGACTCCAGCAATCCAAACTTGGCGCTATCGCCAAGCGGATCTTTGGGATCCGCGCGCTTCCAAGGCCAGCAACTGCAGAGGCTCGATGCTTGCGCCCGGGTGCATGTGAAAGAGTCAGCATCCCTCCCTTTTCATGGGCAGCCCTTGCTTAGGGGGCTGAGGTCAGCAGCTACTGAAAGTGAGTGAAAGAAAATATCCAGTAGTTCGCCTTATGGACTTTCCGAGTAGGCGCCTGCAGGCATGCCACCAAACTGAATTGCATGCGGCGGCTTCTTTGCCAGGAGGTGGATGCTTTCGTCAAGTCGAACGAGCGCTGGCTTGGGGGTGAGGTAAGGGGGCCGCGTGCAGATCTTGGCTCGGCCCGGCTGTTGCCAGGCTTTGGAAATCCTCAAGTCAATGACTGCAGTCCGCTGCAGCTTCCACTTCTGTGCAAAGCAACGAATTGCCCTTGATGCCCAGGTTGACCAGAGAAGGGTGATCTCAGCAGGAACCATGTCAGGTGGGGAGGGAAGCCAACTTGCAATGTCCAAGCCACCATTCACAGGCTGCCGTGACCCAGTTGCAGTGATCCAGACCCGCGCCAAGAAGGCGAGCGGCTCAACAGCCTCACGACAGGGGTGACGGAATTTCGAATTTCAACGGGAGGCACGGGAGATGGAGATGGAGCTGGAGGCATGGCGATATTGGCTGCCTCCTTCTGACCGCTGCCCACTGACAGAACTTGGCGGCGGGCAGAGGGCCACTGCTGAAGAAGGAAGGAAAGCGCACGCCAGCCGCGCCTAGTTTCGATGAGGCACGCCCCTTGGAACGAGAGCCAACAAGGAATTGTTGCTGTTTGAGGGGCTGAAGCCTGCTGAAGGTTTGCAGTTTGCTTTTCCTGCGGAGTTGTGAGATGTTGTGCCAAGCGTGTCTAAACCTGAGCGCGTCTTCTGGAGCCCTGGCATGCAACCTTTCAAGCATGGCTGAAAAATCCGAACTGGATCAGGAAGCTTTCACAGGGCAGGATGTCTGGTATGTTGGCAATTGATGCAAGCTGCTGGTATCAGGAACAAGCTGCGATGCATCTCTATGCACCACCAGAGGAGAATGCCAAGTTGCCTTAATCAGCGACCGGGGTGTCGTTTGGAGATGTGTGAAACCATTCAGGAGGTGTCCGCAAAGGAGTCCAGATTCGCACCTCCTGAGACAGCGCAAGCCCCGGTAGCACGTTGCTTTTGCTTCGTTTCATCGTTGGTCAGGGAATGTCAGCCATTGATTTGGCTGAGGCCGAGGGTGGAGCAGCGCTTGTCGGTGACAGCCCTGGCGTTGGAGGCACTTTGGGACGACTCGTGGTTTCCTCTCGCAGGATGTGGGTGTGGGTCAAAATTGAACCACTGGGGGACCGCAGGTTATAGTCCATGTTTCCATTTACCAGGGTTCCATTTTGGGTACCTATTTTTGACCCACAGCCATGTGTCGTGGCACAGCTGTTCAGCGCTTCACAAGCCATGGCTTGCCTTGAGGAGAGTTCGTTGCAGTGATATTGGCTCAAAGTGCGAGGGTTTGTGGCAATCAGCCAGACGCCCTGCGCTTGACAGACGCGCCTTGCCTGCATCGGCGTGTTGCTCCTACTATGAGTTGACAGTTGCGAGCCCTTTAAAGCTCGGTATCATACGTCGGTATCCATTAAGAAATGCAAGAAGTGAACAAACACCTCCCGGCCTTTACCGTACTTTGTGTCTGGTTTATTTGCAGTGTCAAGAGGGTCAACCTTGACTCCTAGTTTCCGTTCGGTGCTGCTTGGCCCCAGGCAGAAATCCTGCGATCACGGCGTAGCCGGCAGGGATCCGGCCGGCCTCTAGGCCGGGGCTCCGCACACTTGCCATCCTCATCTCATGCAAGCTTGGGCAGCTAGAGTCAGCCATGCAGTGCACACTTCCCGCTGAATTCGGGTGAAACTTATGTGGGGCGTACTGGTAGAAAAGCAAAGTTGATCCAAGTCTAGGTGCACCGTGTCAGCTCAAGCCAGGCACGTCATGGGGCTGCTGCGCTTCAGCAAGAAGGCACGAGCGCTTGCCTTCGTACACGCCAACATTCGCAATGATTTACCCTTTTAATGGAAATGGGCGGGAGGGCTGTGAAAGACCATGCTCTTGAAAGGGCCCTCCACTTCCACGGTTGAAGCAAAATTGTACGCACTCCGTTCCGCCGCCAGCATGATTGCAATCCTGGCATGAAGCTGCAGGCCCGACGTAGCCTAGATCCCTTCCAGCGGAGCAAGATCACAATTCTATGCTCTTTAGGAGCTCGCCCCAGGGACAGCCAGGGAGTGTTGTTGCAACGGACCGCTCAATGTTTTGCATTCCTCAATGTGACCCAGCCAAGGATGTGCAGTCTCCTTTACCCTGCTCGTCTTGATTCAGGAGAGAGATCCTGTTGTGCAGGTAGGTTGCATGGTTGTAGCCATACCCCGCACTCGCTCGCGAATCATTAGCTTCGAAGTCATGAGAAGCCCTGGAGGACTTCTCCCAGGATGCAAGCAGCTTGACCGAGGAAGAGGAGTTCCCCCTAAACAAGACACACCCATATCAACACGACGTTGTTCTTATGGGTTCTTCGGGAGTGAGGTCGTTTCTACAGGAATGGCGTTTTGACATTGAGTGTCACATCTGCTAGCACCGAGTCAAATCCCGAGGCCATACGTTTCGACGCTTGCAAGCCACTGAGCATGACGACACGACCACCACAGTGCCTTGCTTGAATCACAAAGCTTTTGATTGTAGCAACGTGGACTGATGCATTGCGGCAGCCGGTGAAGTGCGAATCACCCAGGTTCCTCCAGACTTGTACCCTCCAAATGGCCTCTTGGAAAAGCCGTACATTGATGAGCCAACAGGCAAGTCGGCCAAATTCAGACGTGGCAAGCATGCCTCATTGACTGGCGTCATGCAGCTGCAGATGCAGGGGGACACTCTTCATCAATGGCACCTCATGCTCAAATGGCCGATGTTGTGTGCAGGAAAAAAGTTCTTGGCGCTGTTCTTTTGCCTCGGCATCGCGGCAAGCTTAGCTAAAACTCTTGGTCGGCAGGACTAGTCCTTCTTGTGCACAATGTGCAGCGAGGATTTGCTCCATGTTACCCAGGCCTACATGGTTCTCGGTCTGAACACGGTATGCGATGTGTACTTCGCTGGGTCTATCGATTTGCTTTGCGACGCATGGGATTTGACACCAGACGTAGCTGGGGCCGCTTGCCTGATTTATTGGAACTACAGGAGGCGACGACAATGCCGGTTGGGGGCTGCCTTCTCTCCAGTCACATCCATTTGCTTAAGAACTTGTTATTCCCCCTGGTTTTAAAGGGAAGAATCTATCACTGGACATATTTTTCTTTCTCCAGGGGGCTTAAGCCTTAAGCAAATGGAAGGTCATATTGGTTTAAAGGATGCACTCGTCCAGCCATCACTCCGCTGTGAGGCCACCTGGATGGCAGCGGGCGGGTCCGCACCGGAGTTCTTCACGTCGATGATCGGCGCGACCATTGTGACGTGGCCATGGGCTTTGCAAAATCCAAATCGCACCCCCGGTTATTTTCCAGGGAACCTCCGAATCCAACCACTCAAATAGGAAGCCTAAAATGGGTGGCGAATTCACCGAAACCAACCCAAAAAGGGATTTCGTTGGTTTTGACAACCACGGCCACATTAATCGGGAACCACCTCAAAAGTGAGAGGTGAATCCCCACCTAAATGATGTCCGGCGAGCAAGCGCAATGCCTGACATGGCTCAGGCACAGAATGATGTTGGCTTTGGTACGATCGTTGGATCAGCGGTTTTCAATGTGCTCTTTGTGATTGGCTTGTACCTTGGTGGCAGCGAAGCGGCAGACGTTGCGTTTCCTTTCGCATGAGTTGCGAGCTGCGATGTAGTCCTTGTCCAGGATCATAAGCGCGAATTCAGGTGCGGATATGTCGCGAAGGGAAACATTGAGCTGACTTGGTGGCCGCTTTTTCGAGCCCCTTTGCTGAGTTGGGAAGCTGACAAGATGGTGCACCTTCAGAAGTTGAAACATACCGCTGTTGTCATGCTGACCAAGGATTGCACATACTACATAACTTCTCTAGCAGTTCTTGCGTGCTTTACCTTCAACCAGCTGATCGAAGCATGGGAGGCAAGTTGCGATGCAGTTTGCTTGCTTGGCACTCTGACAGGGGCAAAGGGCCAGGTTCCAGGCAATCGCGAAGTTTGGCCGTCCGTGCAGGCAGTCATCCTGTTTGTTATGTACATTGGTGCCAGCCCTAGCATCAAGGATCAAGGGGTGAGGCCCTGCCAGCGTCTGTGGCCCGCCCGCGTGACAAAACTCAGGGGCTGCTTGATGTATGCTTAGGCTATGTCAGCTTCATGTTTGTGAACAAGCCGATGAATGTGTGGGCGTCCCTTGCCAGGGTGTTCATTTGGGACATTCGAGGGGATGGGACTTGCTAAGCCGCTTGACCTCACCAAGATGCGCAGCCAAGGTACCAGAAGACAGGTACTCCTTTAAACAAAGAATTGAGGGAGTATGTTGAGGAGATGAACAAGAGCAAGTCGAAAGTGGAGCCGGAGAAGGTTGGGGCCGCTGAAGAGGGGGATGCACCCAAGACGGCCCGGCACTTATTTTAAATCAGTTTGTACGCATGGCGTGGGGCCCTCCGGGCTTGAGAGACAATCCTGAGCTTGAGGACAACTTCATGCAAGACAAAGTCATGGTCAAGGCCTCAGCGTGTAAGACGAAGGCATGCAAAAAAAAAGAAAACACTTGCAGCGTCAAGACTCAGGAGCCGACCCCGGATGCAGAAGCCAGCCAGTCTGCGGGGAAGGCCAGGCGATTTGCAGAAGTTGGATGTAAGTGTTCGGTTTAATGTGCACACGCTCGCAGCAGTTCTCGCGTGGAGCACGCCAAAGGGACGTGGCGTGCTTGAGGACTCAAGAGCTGCAAAGGAACAGGAAAAAGAGGAGGCAGAAGACGACGATGATGACGATGACGACGAGCCGGAAGACTTCATGATTATCCCTGAAGGCCTTTACCGGTCTAGTGGAGTTGTTGACGTTCATGCCTGTCACCGCACGGAGCTTCAACGTCTTGAGCCTCGTCCCCTTTGCCAGGCACAGTCAATCGTATTTTGTGGGCCTTGAGCCTTCCAGTCTACCTGCCAATCTGGCTAACCTTGCAGCGCGCTCAGTTGAACACCGCACCCCGCATTCGTAAAGGACTTGACAATGCCACGCCTTGTCCTCACCAATGGATGTGTCAGTTCCGGCATTTGCCCAAGGCCATGGCCTTCAAAAGGATCCAAGTACTACATGGCCACTTTCTTCTTGTCCTTGGTCTGGATTGCCGCCTTTTCCTTTTGCCTGGTGTGGTGGACGGACATTGCCTCTTGGCTTCGTTTGCATCGATTCTGGGTCGAGCTCAATCTGTGTCCAAGTGCATGATGCTTTGTATTGTTTGTTTGCTTCGGGTGGTTGGAAGGGCCGGAAGGCCTGCAAGGACCGGAAGGTCCAGTTTTCTGCCCATACTTGCCCAGTTGTGTGACAGCCGAGGTGGCAAGCGTGATCGGGGCAGCACCCTCAGACAGTTTCGAATGCAGCGCGTAGGCGTAGGCGCAGCCCTCCTGACCTTTGGGGTGGGCGGAACCTTCGCTCCGTTGCCTTGGCGCACATCCAAGAGTCCATGAAACACCCATAGTGTGTTGCTGCAGCCTTGTTTGGGAGCAAGTGCATCCACAGCTACATTTCAAATCAACTCTGAAATGTCTTCAATGTTTGCATTTTCAAGAGTTCATCTCAGAGAAGCTCTTATAGAGATACTCCTCATTCCTGGTTCCCCTACGCGATCGTGTTTACGGATCCGAGATCCCCACCATCGTCTCGAGCGTGACCTTCCTGGCGGCAGCTACGTCCATCCCGGACGCTGTGAGCTCCATGGCCGTGGCCCGGAAAGGCACCGGGGCCGGGGCCCGGGAAGCGGTGGACCCGGCAGCCGGTGCCTTGAGAGATCTGGTTTTTCCAGCTGTATTTCGGCAAGCTCGATGTGAGCCAGAATCACCTGCAATTGTCTGGTCACTGACGTAGAGAATCAGAAAAAAAAAACTCTCTGAGGTCGAATACGCGCCCCAAGCCCAAGCCAGTCAGAAGACCCTTTGGGGCAAAGCTGCGCGCAAAAGCGTCACAAGCAGTGCCATCTAGGCTACGATGAGTCAGAATAAAGGGCCCTCGAAACGGTGCTCCATAGAACAGCAAAATGACTCCCTGTTCTACACTCCAAAGGGGTCCCGAACATGGTCTTGGTT